TACTCTGACCCTTACTGCGACTTCGACAAACACATGGGTTGACCAACTGGAAGCTGTCAGTGGTGCGATTGAAGACCTTTGCAGTTCTCTCATTGCAATTGTGCTCGAACCTCTGCAAAGTAGAGTGTCTTGATTGTTTACTCTTGCGTGACCTTGGTATCTTGGTTTGTGTTCACATATAGGTAAGATGCTTGGGCACGTCGAAGAATAATTAATACTTTGGCAGGAGTCCAAGACTCATAATGGGGGCAATTTTGGCATGCTAATATTGGCACGTCTTGACCTTTTCATCTATGACGGACGAGTTGAAGGGATGTAGAATTAAATCAAAGATCGGTATCCTAGATCTTGCAAAATGGCTGGTGTCTATCAAAGGAACCTCCTTCACTTCCAAGACGTTACCTTCTGTTGCTAATGGTGAGTGATCGAGCTTTGCACGCAAATGATTGGAACAATAGGGTGAATACTTCTGAAAACGATGGCGTGGCCAACTAAATACTACATTTGATTACCTTCGCAAGTGCGGAAACATTACATTTTGTGCGCTTAGAGTGGGCTGGCTTTCACATTGATTGTATACGGCACGTCGACAATGTCTCTACGACAAACTAAGTAACGCAATATGCAAGGCTGGGATCTACCTCTAGGGAGGAGATTGCCAGATCCATAGCATTAAGTATAAGGGATGGCCTGGTTGGCTTTGAGATCCTAGGATATAGGTAAAGAAAGGTAATGAAGGCGGACCTCGAACAACACCAGCAGGCCCCGCCTCAATAATAAAAAAGATGAAGGTGGCTGTGGCCCCTTGCTTGTAATAAGTTGTTTCCCTCGGCTCCTGCAGCCAAATAAATCTCGGACGCGATGGTGTTGCCTCAACGACTGCCAGAGATTAGGTGACGGTCGTTGGCTTTTCTCCCTTTCTTCTTTTTTCTTCTTATACACCAACGGTGCTGCACAGTTTTACCCCTTCATCATGTCATTTTTCGGGTATGTAGTCTCGATGGCTGCCGTTGGGTCTTACACTCATTGTAGCGCCTATGTCCAGACGCAATCGGGCCCCCCGCTCTAAGCGATCACCAACACCAACTGGGACGATAACACGCAAGGACTCGATAGGTCCCCCATCAGAGCCTCCCTCGCCTGGTGGGGCCGGCGCGAAACCTTTGTACTTGTCAAGTCCTTTTGCAGATGCAGCGTTAGTGAAGGGGAACTTCAAGACTATCGTAATGCTCCCAAAGTATGTGGACATCATGGAGTGGGTCGCCGTGAATAGTACGTACCATTTACAAAGTGTTGCAGCCGTGTGATGAACTGACATGATACTCATCACTAGTATTTGACTTTTACACCAACCTAAATGAATTTTATGGGGTTATTACTGAATGTTGTACTCAAAACTCCTGTCCAACTATGTCCGGAGGCTCGGCGTAAGCATTTATCCGGCACACAGCATGGGGAGCTCAATTTAATTTCTTGTATAGTTTGAATTATACATGGACAAATCAAGGGGGAAAGCAGGTGGCCCTCTCCGCACCGACCTACATCGATTCTGTGATGTCCTCTATCCAGAACCTCTTGGAGGACGAGAACGTGTTTCCTACCAAATCAAGTCAGTTATTTCTTTCTGTAAGTCTTTCAAGTGATCGCTAATAATATTTTAGATCAAGTTTTTCACCCCTCCTTCCCCGCAACCGTTAAACACGTTTACCGACAGCTCCTACGTGTCTTTGCACATCTTTATTACGCACACTATCATCAGATACTCCACCTCCGCTCAGAGCCCCATTTTAACTCACTGTTTGCACACTTCCTGGCCTTTGGACGAGAATATGAACTATTGGAAGTGAGGGATATCAAGGGAGATTCCAGCGGCCCTGTGTCAGTCGGTTTACTATGGGAACGGTGGAAGGATGCAGGGATTTTGGAGGGCTGATACAATTGTATAAACAAATTTGAACAATCTATCTCAACATCTCATTCGCTAACGTGTCTGTAATACTTTCTTGACTCCCAATCCAGGACCGCTCATGTACTCCAATAGCAAATAATGATCATTCGCGATCGTTGAACTCATCGATGTTCGTAAGGACTTGATGACTTATACTGAACATTAAGATTGGACTAGCCATTCACATTCCCACTCTACTAAATCCCGGTGTAAAAGATGGGCCTGTCACTATAGCACTAGACCTGCGACGAGTCCAATGACAGACAACATTACGGTTTTGCTTCCACTTAACATTCCAGCACCGTTATTAGGTGCGTCGGTCTCTGAGGAACCTGGAGTTCCCGAGTCGGAGCCCGAAGGCCCATTAGTCCCATTGCCAGGAGTCGTGCCAGTAGGAGATCCATCCGCAGGCGCTCCCACGGCAGTGGCCTATGCAGAAGAATCAGAGATGTAATTCAAAGATAGAGGCAACATAGACTAACCTTAAATGCGGTAAATGTTTTTTCTGCAGTAGGGTTCACTGCGAATACCATGCCCCGAGAGCAGTGACTGAGAAAGGGAGCGGCATCAGGATAATGAGGGAGGTTCAAAGCAAGAGACTTACGGCGCTTGGTTGCAGAAGAACCAGAAGGGTGTTGATTCTATGATAGCTGTAAGTAAAAATACTGCAATACACAACTGTATTAGTCACCGTCGTCAACCGTAAAAGACCATTCAGGGAACTCGGTCGCGCCAGCAGGTACTGGTTGGAATCCTGAATCGATTCCAGCAGTAGGAGCAGTCCTAGATATAATGATGAGACCAGCAACAACATGGGTACAAGGAACGGCCAATTACATTGCTTCGCACGGTTTCACAAATGTGGATTGGGTTACGGTCTAGATAGTGCATCAGGATATGATTTCTTGTAACTTTGAGTTAGAAACAAACATGATTCTTGGACATACTATCAACCAGGGTGTAAATGACCAAACATGACTCCGATAATTATAACCACACTCACAATCGGAAAGCAATCGTGTCGCCGACCTTAGCCGTCACACTTGGTAAAAATAGGTCAGATCAGCCCAACGGATCAAAGGATATGGTGGACTAACGATTCTGGGGAATAAGTAAGGCCATTATTTTCACCAACTGTGACAGTAATCCTTTCGGCATAGGCAACCGAGACTAGGGTGGCGGCAGCGACAGCAAAGAAACGCATCGTTGGGGCAGAGAATGAGGTGATAAGAGGAAACAGCTAAAATGAAAGTGACTGGGGTCGAGACTCAAGAGCCTGTAGGGTTAAAAGTCAACGGATGCATTGAATGTAAAGGCAAAAATGGCTCACACTGCTCTTAAAAAAAATAAGTGAGATGAGGGAAGGAGAAGAAAGGTAGGATAAGGAGGCGGATTACTGCCCATCACTCAATATAAAGGAGCAGGACCCTTAGTGATAGCCAAGAAAGTGGTTTCCAAACAACGCCATCGCTTGGCCATTGATTTAATCATAAAATCATAATTACTGATCTTACTCAGTGCCAAATGGCTTTCATATCTGAGGCCGAGCGTAAACCGAACTGTACACATATCCTTTTGATCACTACGGGGAGTGTGGCATCCGTGAAGGCTCCGCTAATTGTAAACGAGCTACTTGGGGTTCGTCCTGCACCCCTGCATCTGCCCGTCAGAAACAACAATGATATGACATCTGCCAGTATGAAAATGTGAGGGTCGAGGTTGTTGCTACCAAGCCTTCCCTCGCATTCTTTACCAAAGATGATATAGTTGCTGCCGGGTCTAGAGTGTGGACAGACGAGGATGAATGGAATGTACGTTCAACATTCCCTGCCCTAAGATCACGAGTTCATATATATTTAATATTCACAGGGCAATTTCAAAATTGGAGACCCTATCCTTCACATTGAACTTCGACGATGGGCTGACATTGTTCTTGTGAGCCCCTGCTCGGCGAATACTTTATCCAAGATCGCCCATGGTCTATGTGACAATCTCGTAGTATGCAGAGCTCTCATCAATTCTGACCATGATCCCGAGTGAACCTTTTCGACCAGACTTCTCTCATGCGAGCCCTCTCGCCCGAGACCCCAACATACATATTTCCAGCCATGAATACCCTTATGTATGAACATCCGCTTACTGCTGAACACATCCGTATCGTTCGTGACGTCGTACGCTACAATGTGGTAGGTCCAATTGGGAAAGGCCTGGCTTGTGGCGATGTCGGTGAGCTCACGATATTTCCATTTCTATATACCATGCTAATGAATCGCGCTTTCAAGGCCTAGGGGCCATGACAGAATGGCGGGACATCGTGAAAATCGTTGTTGAGTCATTCAATCTTGGTCTCAAAACACACAGCTATTGAACCATACATACCCTACCGGTAATCCGAGTAGTACATTTAAATATGTCGTTTCCTGGCTAGGAGACGTAGGTGCGGTGTAGGGCGTCCACCCTACCTTTACCCCACTTTCACTTACCTTATAATAGTAAATTAATGGGAGCTCCATTCACCTGACACTAGTTCTTAGGCAAGCAAGAATCGTTAAAACATGAGGGGGGTGGTGTTGGTTTTCACAAAAATCGAAATTCAGTGGGTTTCGCAGTATCGCAACTTGATGGCCGATGCAGGCACACTACAAAAATTTCGAATTTTAAACCGGATGAAACATAGCTTAATTTGACCGCTTTGGGTTGGCTATATTGGATTGCGCTGGCCTGGGAGGACATGGTCCATTGCAATTGGGCGGCATAATATATGTTCGCAATAATATTTGACGCATATTTGCATAGTAAAGATCAATGCACACTCCCTGGGGACATTTATATTTCCTATATAATGGACTTTGCACAAGTCCATGTAACTCATTGCGCGACCGATTGCCTGTACATCGACAGGCATAGCTTGAATCTACATTCATCCAAGACATTTACACTTCCGAGTAGCACTGGAGTATGTTTGTCTTTTGCTATCCATAGACACAGCTTTGATATAGTTTATTCATTCAATATTCCAGAACCTTTTCGTCACAAGGCCTCTGTATCTCGAGCCCGCCTAGCTCAATCGGCTAGAGCGTCAGACTTTTAAGACTAGTTGAGTCTATCTGAAGGCTGCGAGTTCGACCCTCGCGGTGGGCTAATAGTTTCCCTTTTGCTAGGCATATCAAGCCAATTCATGCATTTCAGGGCACAAATTACACTTCTGGTTCAGATATACCAACCATCCTCCACTATCCCCTATTAAGACTTTACTTACCACTCACTGGTCTCAAAAAAAGTAAACTTTTGGGTGAATAACAGTCACCCCTTCTGGCGCCTTCGGTTTACTGAGAGGAAATGTGAGCATGTGAACATGCCGTGGCACATTGAAAAGAGTATACTCAATTAATTCGTTTCTGGTGTCGGTCAAAAACAGTTGCACAGGAAGATCACAACATCTCGGCAATAGTAATAACCAGGTAATAACTGTACTCCCGTATGCTATCTTCTACTGGCAGTTTTGCAACGGCTTTTTGTTCCAAGATGTATGTGAAATATAGCATGTTATTGAAGTTACAGTGGGAATTAAGGACGTTTGAATGTCTATTTCAAGTCAATGTCTACCCCAGAAAACCTGGAATTCGGGTTAATGCAGCACATCATGAGTTTGGGATGGTTATCAATGTCTGATCAAAGGTATGCCACAGTCCCAAGGCAAAATAAAACACAAACTTAGGTTTCAAATGTCGATTGGGGGCGATTTTTTGCTATTACAGCCTTTAAAAGGGTGAAAAATAGTTTCACAATCTAAGGGAATAAAATGTGTTTGCTTCCGCATGATTGCCACTCCCGGTAGAGAGGATCCCTCCTATAGCCGTCACCGCGGGAGTGGAGGCTTAGTAATTTATTCAGCATTTTGATTTTGATTTGAGCAACAGCGGAAGAGATCAAGATACTCAGGACAAGTTAGTCCGGAAGGTCAAAATTTTAGTGTTATTGGCCTATCAGGATGTATATCTATAAAGATAAATCTAGGATGAAGGTGTCTCCTCCTTCTCCTTCGCCTCTTTGGGTGGGATACCCTCCTGCGAATCAACAATTAACAAGACTCTGCTGAAGCAGCTATAGGAACATACCGCAGCAGCCTCTCGAGCAGTCCCCATATCTGTGGGACCTTTTTCACCGCTCTCCTGGAACGTTCCCTTAGCCTCGCTGTCCTCTTTGGAGGCACTAGAGTCGGCGTCAGCGGTCTCCTTCTGCCCTTCGGGGGCGCTTGAGTTTTCTGTAGGTTGCTCGTTTGTGGTAGCAGCAGTTTCCTAGATGGGAAACGGCCATGAGTGATTGAAGTATAGTGGAAAGATAGTGGTTGAGGCAAGGTAATTGTCAGAGTGACTCACTGTCTCTATGGGTGCGGCGCTAGCAGCCTTGGGCACATCAGCCGACTAGTATGTATTTCAGGATGGTATACGCTGAAAGAACATATAATTACGAACCTCAGCCTGTTGTAGTGACTCTGCCACGTTAGCTTCCGTACCCTCGTCATCTTTCATGATGACAGGTTCTGGTTCTGGCTCCTTCACCGTTTCGGGTACATGTTTTGCTGTTTTTGGAGCAGGGAAATCATGCTTGTCATTGTGTGCAGAATGTGTGCTTTTTCTAGCAGAAGGTGACACTAGGTAGAGGAACTGACACCTGCGGCGTTAGCAGGAACGGCTTTCATTTGCCGGCCTTGACTCACTGCGGGCCCAAAAACCAAAGAAGAGACAATCTGCGCGTCAACGGCTAGAATGAGAAACGAATTTGAATAACCGTCGTGAAGGGACTCACGATCCACTGTTTGTCGCTGCTGGTTTTGGGTGGGACATGTGATGAGTTCATTCTCCTGCCCCCCATTCGGACGCCGGAAACATTAGCACGCTGGGCCCTTAACGACGCACGAGCCGTCGTCGAAAAGATTGGTTGAGCAGCACGGAAAGACATTTTTTGAGCAGAGAATGCGAACCAGAGGGTGGTGGAGTCTTTACTCTGCTTTCGTGGGATAAATCGATTTTGTTCACTCGGGTCAGTCCGGCTCAACAATAGTAAGTTTCACCCAAATTCTAGGCCCCACCCACACAGAATGCAGATCATAATGTTAACTTTGTGAGGGGGATAAGTAATAGTGTGCACTTATCCCGCTATCTTTAAAATTATCAAAGCAGCCATTACAACTTCACCGTGACCGTACACTAGACTCAGTACTCCCATTTTAAACCGAGCCGGGATAGGAACACAAGACCCATCGCAGCTTGAAACGGGTCGATCCGAGCCAAATTTTCATCCAACAGCCGGTCAAAAACTACGTCTTGCTGAAGTGCTGCGTACGCTCCGTTGGTCCCAACGCATCTTTCGAACGGCTCAAGGACGGTCAAGTACTTCAGGGGCGTCATCGAAGGATCCAGTAAGGAATAGTAATCCTGTTGGGGCGGCCACAGGGTGGATGGAAGCATAGGGACAAGACCAGCTACTGGGGGTGTCGTGAGTTCTGACAATCGGCTTCTGTCGTTTGTAGGTACAGGGCAAGCTCTGTGATGAGAAGACTTAGGGTCAATGTCAGTTACTACAGCTAGACAAAACAAGAAATTTTGTATACGGATTCAAGTTCAGTAGTGAAAATAGAAGGGGCAGAGAGTGGGACATTAAATCTTGCTTGTAGTTTGCGGTCAGTAATTCGTCCAGGGCCAAGATTAGATACTCGATGGGGTCGGGACTGTTGTTGTTGTTGTTGTTGTTGTTGTTGGCGCTGGTAGCCAGAATGACTTCTCTGGGGACCAGAGGCAGGCAGATGTGGGGTGTCGGATATGCCATGTTGAGTCCGAAGAGGTATGGTGGCAGGTATATGCGTGTCCGAGAGGAAGGGCGAAACGGGAAATGTGTTGTCATGAAAAGTCGGCTGCAGGACGGTGGTACGAATGTCAGATACTTGTATTTGCGGGGTGGTGTAAGCGCTGAAATGGGGCCGACATTGGTTCCGTGCAGCAGGGGTGGAGCTGGAGTTCAGCGTTGGGGGTCCAAGGATTGGCGGCCGATGCGGCCCAGGTGGCATCCACACCCGAGGGACCATTTCGCGTAGGATGAACTTTGAAGACAGGGGTGCAGGGTTTGGTATTTCCATCTTATCACTCGGAACTTTTGGAAATGGAGGGGGCAACGATATAAGGATCGGGAAAGCATTCTCGCCGTCTTTGCGTTCAGTCTTGACTTTATTTGATCGTCCGGGATGCGCTTTCGTCCTCACTGGAATGTTATCGCTGTGGGTAATACCATTATCCCTGGCGTCTACCAGAATGGGGTCTTGATATTCGGCCTTGAACTTATCGATGACATCCATTGACACAGCACCTTCGGCACTTGGGGCCGCATCGCGCGCCTTTTTCCGCTGACGAACAAACCAGGAGTTGATCCATTTTGTAGGACTTGGCATATAAAGGAGTTAAGAGGCCAAGGAGGAAGGATTCGGGGAGCGAGATATATACATACAGGCCAGTTTCCTCACTAACGGACTTGACACTCTCAGGAGAGGCTACAGGGTTTTGAGCAAATAAATTGAGAAGAATTTCTGACTGTCTTTTGGAAGCACGGATAATGTGGCCCTTCTTGTCCTTGCGCGTTGGAAGGGGAATGGTATCCATTTTGAATCCTCGTGGTACCCGTCCAACCGGTGCTTTTCGGGAAAACTACATCATGTGACCTCTTGGTCTCTGACCTTACTTTACAGGTTGAGCCAATGTCATTGCGGGCACAGACAGATGGGCAAGTCCCATGAGGCGTGTCTGAAGTAACCTGCAGGTGGCGGTTGGATATGCCAAGGTAGGACTCGAATTTGACGCCTCGCCCTGAATTCGAAACAAATGGGCACAAGTCGTACTATTCATGGAATTGAAGACAGGGATATAATTATACCAGGATCAATAGAATGTTTTGCACACATGTACACCACGCGGTGAGATTCAAAGCTCTGAAGACGTTGAGCAGGCCACATGGTGCGCAGTTCACCTGAGAGTAAGAAGGTGAATAGTTGTTGTTCGACGCAAGGTTGGGGATCCTTCAACGGATAAGTTAGTAATCCGGACTTTGAAGTCAAATATGTCAAGTCAATAGAGATCAATAATAGACTAGTCTCAAGACAAGGCAGCGGTGTTCTATCCCTCTTTTAACTGTTCCCCCGTCTTTATGGTTTGGGGAAATCCCCCGCCCCCTTTGGCTATGCCGTCCTCGAGGCGCCTCTCCACATCCTCAGCGACCTCATCGCGTAGCCCTTCTCCCGTTCTTGCTACTCTCGATTCCTCTGCGGCCCTTATTCTAGTCCACGACCCAGAAGACAGCAACACCCCGTTTGATTTCTCTTCCGACGACGAGGGAGATGACGATGGTCAAAGTCCCCAGTTTGATACTCGGAGAGCGTCAGTTCCACCTCTTGGTCCTGCTGTGGTGTTTCTTTACCTCCTCGCACCCTATCTCAAATTAGGCGCCATGCTTTTTCCGCACACCACGTTGCCTCTAAAATATGGCCTCCCACCACTGTTTGTATTTGGCGTCCTTTCGGCGTTTGCAAAGCAGATCTTGTACATGCTGGCGCGATACATGCGAACCGCAGATATAGAAGATGTTGTTCTAGATGTGTTTGCACGGGGTAGGGGCAAGGAGCGTCGCCGGGTTGTGCTGAGAAGCATACTACGAGGGGGTACTGGGACCCTTAGGATTTTACTCGCGACGGCTTACCTTCGAGGTCCGTCTACTTGCAATATATGTTGGTTGTACTAAATATCACTCAAGAGTCTGCTCGCGTGCTATTACCTGTTCTTCCGGAGTCTTCTGTACTACCTACCCAGCCTCTCCTGGCTATAGCTTTGGCCCTGGTGGTCTTCCCTTTGACTTTGGCTCAGTCACTCGCGTCCAAACGGGTCATATACTCAACTTGGCTGTCGATTGCATCATATATGGCCTGGCTGGGATGTGTTGCTTATGCGCACACCCGAAATACTCTTCAAATTGAGCCGGACTGGGTCAAAATGGGTGCCCTCTGGCAGGGAACAAGTACGTTTATTCTATTTTTCAATATTTATCATATCTGACATCCGTTTCTAGCCGTCGTCGCTTTCGCTTTTACTTCATCCTCC